ATATTCTAAAGGAGATTAAATTAAAACAACATAGAAACACCAGTACACACCTACCAAAATGGATAAAATTAAATATAATGCAAAAGCTAGTGTCGATAAGCAACTGGACCTCTCATAAACTGCTGGTGAGAGCATCAGCTGGGACAGCTGCTGGGAGAAACTGCTTGGCAGCACCTACTAAAGCTAAACGTAAGTAAGCCCTCTACCCCAGTACTTCCGCTACGTATATACCCCACTTGAAATAAATATATGCAGTTCCCAAAAGAAATTACAAGAATGTTCTTAACCAGCATTACCACAACTGCCAAAAACCGGAAACAGTATAAACGTTTGTCCATCAATAGAAGAGATAAAGGAATTATGATGTACTCATATAATGGAGTGCCATACTATACAGTAACAAGAAACAGAAAACTTGTTGCATTCAACAGCATGGAAATTCAGACATATAATGAATAAAAGACACAAAAAAAGTATACATTGTATGGTGCTATTACTATGAATGTTCTTTAAATGGCAAAATTAATTTATGGTGTTGTAAGTCAAAACACTGCTTATTCTTAATGAAGGATAATGGCTGAGAGGGGGCCTGAGAGAGGTTTCTGGGGCTCAAGTGATGATACATACCTTGATCTGGGGGATGTTTAAATGTGCATGCTTAATTTGTAAAGTTCAAATTCCACATTTACTTGTGCATTTTCTGTACATATGTCATAACCTTACTTAAAAATATAGAGAAAATGGACGCCCAGGTGGCTCAGTCAGTTAAGTGTCTGCCTCTGGCTCAGGTCATGATCCCTGCGGCCTGGGGATCAAGTCCCACATCAGGCTCCTTGCTCTGCGGGGAGCCTGCTTCCCCCTCTCCCTCTGCTGCTCCCCCTGCTTGTGCTCTCTCTCTTTCTCTCTGACAAATAAATAAATAAAATCTTAAAAAATATATATATACACACACACACATATAGGGAAAAAAAGCTACCTGCAAAATCCAGCCCAAATAAGACAAGATTTAAAATACAGAGCTCAAGCACCTAGGGAAAGAATCATTAGTAAACAATGAATCCACTTACATAAAAAACTAAGGCTAAATCCCCATCAGAAAACAAAGAAGTGTCTTGACTTCAACCATCTAAATTTATCTAAGGAAAATACAGTTTCTATTATTCTAGCATGCTAACCAAGTTAGACAGACTTTCGCCAAATTCAGAGGGTTTATTTGGGGCCATCTAACTGAAACTACAGGCTGCACGGGATGCAGTCACCTCAAGAGACAGGAAGGTGTCCACCAGAGGAGCTGCAGGCCACTGGCTGGCAATGGAAGGCCTGGACTCTTATTCGTCTCTTTGTACCATGTTCCAAGCTGAGTGCCAGCAGGGATTTATTTAATGGTTAATCATTTTTCAGAGAAACTCTAGGAAGGCCAACTAGCATAATATAACTTAAAAGAACTAAAAAATATGGGAGTGGAGAGAAGGGTATGTGCAAGTCATTCATAGGAAACAACAGTATATACTGTCTGAAAATGAAAAAATACAAATCACAGGGCCACACTCCAGACCTACTCAATGAATCTCCAGGGATGAGACTCAAGAAATTCTAATGAACAGCCCTTTTTGTTGGCTTGGGCAAGCAACTTAATCAAAACCTTACAAGAAAATAGCTAATGGAGGTATTAATGTCCTTTTAACTTGCTGAGTTCTTTCCAATAAATTAAGCTGTTCTTAACCCAGATGGGACAGGAAGGAATTCTTTAAGGATGGAACTACATGCTATTGATCTTTATAGCCCCAGGGACCTAGCCTAGACCAGGTACATAAATTAGACTTTTACATTGTTGAATGTTGATTTAAGAGTACACACTGAATCCAATAACTGCTGGAACTGGACTGCCCAATTCTAACGCAAGTGTTCAGTTATAATTAACAATGAAAATCTTTGGCTGTGTACTTCCTAAGGGTAAAATGATGCTTAGTTTTTTTCCACTTCAGCCTTATGTTATCCCAAAATCCTGTGCTTTAAATAAAACTCGGGCTACTGAGGCTGAAAACATTTTCAAGTGGGTAAATTCATATTTCACTCTAGTTTCCAAATTTACTGTACCATAATCAAGCATGGCTATTTAAAAATGGATAGAAACCTTGTTTCATTCCACTGCTAATCAATTCTCATAGGTTTTTACCATAATGGACAACTCTCAGGAACATAAAGAGAAATATAAATTGTATTAGTTAAAACTATCCCTTTTCAAAAGAGATTTGAATGTCATAAATACAAAGAATATATCTTAAAAAGTTTTAAGAAATCATGAAAAGGGAAAGGAGAAAATATGCTAATTATAAGGATTAACAGAATTTCTATGATTAAGCATCATAATTAACTCTGAGCTTCCTAGTAACCAGAGCAAAAAATGACATCTTGATTATATACCCCTTGCTAAAAGAAGAGATGGCATACTAACTTATCAAAGCAAAAGCTTTTCCTTGTAGAGAGCCCCTAACTTTTCAGTTGGTGGAGCTGTGCTTTTATTTGCTTTAAATAAAGGGTATTTACAATTTATTTGAAGAAAATGTCCTGGGGCTTTAAAAAGAAAGAAAAGAAAGAAAAGAAAAGAAAAGAAAAGAAAAGAAAAGAAAGAAAGAAAGAAAGAAAGAAAGAAAGAAAGAAAAGAAAAGAAAAGAAAAGAAAAGAAAAGAAAAGAAAGAAAGAAAGAAAGAAAGAAAGAAAGAAAGAAAGAAAGAAAGAAAGAAAGAAAGAAAGAAAAAATCTTAAAAGAGAAAACTGGGCTGGTCCAACTCTTTCACATTAAAACACAAGACAAATGGCCATCAAATTAACAACTCACCTCGTTACATGGCCATCAAGCAGCTTCATGATCTTACCTAATCTTAACTTTTATTAACTTCTTTTTAATACAAAGAATAGCCCTGTGTCAGCTATGAGGGAGGGGGGGAGAAAGGCAGTAAACTAATAAAGGACATCTAATAGTTCACTTGTTATTCATTAATTTTCCCCCTCTAAATAAAGCTTTATACATGTGGGGGATGATCCAGCAGGAAATTTCCAGCCTTCTGAACTACCCAAGGACACAAGAGAATTGTAAGGTCACAGACGTTAGCTCTGCAGCAGACTGACCTATTCAGCTATAAAGTCAGCCAAGCTGCAGAAACCAAATTTTCTCCAGCATGTAAGTCCAAATAACAGTGATCTGCAAAGTAAGTGGGTATGGCACTGGACAAGTTCTCACTGCAACAGAGATCTTTACTTCTCAATCAGCAAAATTTTAGAGGAAAACACCACAGAAGCTATCTATAAATATTAATGCACAGAAATCTGTCCTGAGCAGGAAGATGCATTCTGTATGTTTATACATACATGCAAACTCTAAGTTCACTACCTTACTGAAAAATTCCACTCGGGCTTCCATTTTATCCTCTTAATTTCAAAGCTGGATGTGGCTCTCAACACACTTGTTGACCACAAAAATGGAGCGATGTAATTAAGAAAAAACTTACAAAAGAAAAAAAAATGTATACGTAGACGTGTGTGTGTAATTTCAGATTTTGGAGTGAAACTACAAAGAGACCTACTATTTGCCAAAAAAGTCAAATTCAAGATACAATTTCAAAATTTCCATCTCCTTTATGAGTTAAAAAGAACTACAAAAACCTTTTAATAATGCTGCCCTATTTTAAAGAAAGAAAATTTGTTTTTAAACCCTTTTTCTCATAATTCAGAATACAGTATTTCCAAAGGAATCTACTGGAATTTACAGAGTCAGTGACAGTAAAAATAGTCAATAGTGTAAAAAAATATGTATCTATTTTTCTGGGGTGCCTGGGTGGCTCAGTTGGTCTGCCTTCAGCTCAGGTCATGATTCCAGGGTCCAGGACTGAGCCCCATATCAGGCTCCCTGCCTAGCAGGGAGCCTGCTTCTCCCTCTCCCTCTGCAGCTTCCCCTGCTTGTGCTCTCTCTCTCTCACACTATCTCTCTCAAATAAATAAAATCTTTAAAAAATACATATTTTTTTCTTCTAAAAGTAATTCTTTTCCATTTAAAAGCATTATTGTATTCAATAATTTCAGACTATAAAGGAAATCTGAGTTAATCAATAATTTAACTATTAAAAATAATCAGTAAGTTAATGCATACCTGTAAAATCTAAATTTTAAAGTGATACCAGGAGTTATTTACATGCCTGCACAATATTTGCCTGTAAAGTTCACTGCTAACCTATCTCTCCGATAAATTAACCTCTTTATATGCAGCTACATAGCTTTACATAATGACATTTCTATAAAGAGCAAAATAATGTTCAAACGGTAAGCACTTCACACCAGCAAACAAGGAAACTTTCGAAAGTTAATTTTCAAATAGTAATTTTCAAACACCAATTTTCAAATGATAAACACTCTGACCACACCAACAAAGGAGGAAGAGCTAAAAGACAAGACCAACCCTTCCCTGTGGCCTGGGAGAAAAAAACACCCACACTGTGAATCGAGTGCCCCATCCAAATCCCCCTGCCAGATGTCAGTATCCCAAATTAGAATCTTTCCAGGAATTTACAAACTTGCTACTGGACATAAGAAATAGATTACCTATTGGGAGCCTGGGTGGCTCAGTCATTAAGCACCTGCCTTCGGCTCAGGTCATAATCCCAGGGTCGAGCCCCACATCGGGCTCCCTGCTCTGCAGGGAGTCTGCTTCTCCCTCTCCCTTTTTCCCTCCCCCCTGCCTGTTTTCTCTCTCACTCTATCTCGCAGGCACATGCACACACAAATAAATAAAATCTTTAAAAAAAAAAGAAATAGATATCTATTCATTCTTCTACAACCCTCTACATGTTTCATGTCTCATAAAGAGTGTCCCTTTACCTAATGGTAACAGATACTTAATTGCCAAGCAATCCGTTACACTTTTCTTTACTGATTTACTTCCCTAAAATTAGTGTTTGCTGCAATTACCATCACAGGAAGCCAAAGGATAACTTAACAAAATTCACCTTTGTTATTGACTTTGTTCTCAAGCCTCCGTTCTCCACGAGGCTGAGGTCCAACTTGCCGTCATCCTTGCTTCCTATAGCTCTCAGTCCTTGCAAAAGAGTGTCTCGCAAATTCTGATAAAGAGGTTTCTCGGCATAGTCCAGTAATTTCACTGTTTCCATGTATTTAGCAATCTCATCTAAAAGAGTAACACAATTATTCTGTAATTTTTTAATCACAAATACAACATATTTATCTCTTCTAAGAAAATAACTCACGGTTATAGCAACTTTAGAATGCAAATGTCTATCCTGCTAGAATATGTTTTTACATAAATCACTTTTTCAATGGAAAAGTACACTTTTGAAGTCAGGAACTGTCAGGCAAGTGAAATAAGAAACTTATTTTGAGATATAATGTAAAAGACATTTTTGTAATTGTAAGGGACAAAAGGTAAGGAACATACTAGAATTTAAAAATGCATGAAATAACTCCTGTACTTTTAAAGCTACAGAAACAAAACAGGAAAGGACCTCGAATAGATTATAAAGTAAAAAGTACTAAAGTACAAGGACTATCACAGCCCATATTTTTTTTCCCCACAAAAGCCATTAGTTCTATAGAAAATAGCTGCATTCTTTGTATAAATGGGAAATAAAACATACCAAAACCAGGTTGAAGAAGGAAGAAAGAAGCAAGACCTAGTTTTCCCATAAAAGAGAAAAATCAGCTTCTGAATGATGAAAGGCCCACTGTACACTGAGGCAGGACCACTCCCCTAAAAAGAAATCTTACCAGTCAAGATCAACACTCCTCAACACCAGAAATCCATCTTTAGGCTAACAACTCCTACGTTCACCAGCCTCCAGGAACTTGTGCACCCATGGCCTCATACACTGGCTCCTGGATCTCTCACTGTCCTTTGGAATCCCAGCAAATCCCAATCCAAACTCCTGACCTACCCCTAAACCTGTTCCCCTGTGGTCTCCCTTGCCCCGTTACTAAGAACTCCATTCTGGGCGCCTGGGTGGCTCAGTTGGTTAAGCGACTGCCTTCGGCTCAGGTCATGATCCTGGAGTCCCGGGATAGAGTCCCGCATCGGGCTCCCTGCTCGGCAGGGAGTCTGCTTCTCCCTCTGGCCCTCCCCCCTCTCATGTGCTCTCTCTCATTCTCTCTGTCTCAAATAAATAAATAAAAAATCTTTAAAAAAAAAAGAACTCCATTCTTCCAGCTCCTCAAACCAGAAATCTCTTCCCACACCCCACATGCAATAAACCAAGAGAACCTGTCAGTGCTACACACAGACATATACACGCCTCCGTCCATTCCAACACTGACCAGCACTCACTACACGGCAGGCACAATTCTAGGTACTTGGGAAACATGAGGAAAAAAGAAATGAAAATCCCTCCCTTCAACTTTCTTAATCTGATAAAGGGGATCTATGGAAAACCTAAAGCAAACATCACCTAATATAGTTTCATATGGAAAACTTCCCTTCTGAGAGGGGAAAATGTCAAGCATGTCCATGTTTACCACTTCTGTTCAGTGTAATAGTTATATATGCTTTCAGTCAGTACAGTAAGGCAAGAAAAGAAACAGAAGGCATAAAGAGTGGAAGGGCTTATTCACAAACACAGCAGTGTATGCAGAAAATCCTAAGGAATCTATAAAAAACTAGGAAGACTAATAGATAAATTTACCAGGGTCACAGGATATAAGGTAAAATATTAAAAAATCGTTTTCTATGTACTATCAATAAGCAATTCGAAAATAAAATTTAACAAAAATAAATCACTGGGGCACCCGAGTGGCTCAGTAAGTTAAGCCTCCGACTCTTGGTTCATTCAGCTGGGGTCATGATCTCGGGGTCACGAGATCTACCCCCCACAGCGGGCTCCACACTCAGCGGAGAGTCTGCTTCCCCCTCCCTCTGCCCCACCTTCCATTCATACACACGCGCTCTCTAAAATAAATAAAATAAAAATCTTAAAATAATAGCTCATTTACAATGGCATCAAAAAACCATCAAACACCTAGCAACAAATACAATGAAGACAGGCAAGATTTTTTGCAGACAAAATTATAAAACATAGTGAAAGAAATGAAGTGGAGAATATGCCACATTAGTGAATTGGAAGACTCAATAGTATAAGGATGTCAGTCGATCTAGAGTCAAAGCAATCCCACTCAAAATTCCAGCAAACTGGAAAGGGAGGGGATATGTGTGGAACTGACAAGGTGGCTCTAAAATGTACACAGATACTCAAAGGGTCAAGAATTGCAAAATAGCAAAGTCAAGTTTAAAGAACAACCAGTGTCATTAGGACACTGCTGCCCAAGAACAGACAAAAAGAAAACTAATGATGTATTGTATGGTGACTAACATAATAAAATAAAATTTAAAAAAACAATAATAAAAAGAAAGAAGTCCAGAAACAGATCCACAGATCCACACTTAATTTATGTCAAAGGTGGCACCATACGGAAAGAGCGGTTTTTTTGTTTGTTTTCCCCCAAGAAAAGCTACTGGGTCAACTGTTTATAAATACTGGGGGGGGGGGGGATCTGGCCCCTCCTCATATAAGGCACAATAATCAGTTACAGGTGGACTATACATCTATATGTGTAACTGGCAATCTATGATTGCCAAAATTTGGAAATAGTCAACAGCAGAATAGATAAAGCTATATAATAGGATATAAATACAACAGAATACTATTAGAAATGAGAATGAACACATCACTGTTAAACATGCAACAACAGGGTCCCATGAGGATCTAATGCACAGCATGGGGATTACAGTTAGTAACTTGGTACTGCAGACTGGAAAGTGGCTGAGAGTAGATCTTGAGCATCACCACATATACACATACACAAACACAAAGTTAACTGTGAGGTAACAGAAGTGTTAACGATCTTGATCTTGTTAATCATTCTACGATACAAATGTATGTTGAATCACCACATTGTACACTTGGAAATGTATACAATTATATTTGTCAATAAAGTTAAAAAATAAATAGGAACATTAAAAAAAAAAAAAACCCATGCAACAATGGGAATGAATTTCACAAATATTATACTGAGTAAAAGAAACAGGATTCTAACAAAGCTAGAAGTTAATGTAATGAGGGCAGGGATTTTTATCTATGTTGTTCACTCTATGATTCCATTTTTATACAGCTCAAAAACAAATTTTGGGGGTTGGAAGTTAGGCTAGTTATTAGGCCGGAGGGAGAGGCTCGTGATTGGTAGGAGGCACAAGGGGGGACTCTGAGAAGCCTATAACATTCCATTTCTTGTGTGGTTGGTAAGACTGCAATTTTAAATAGCATAAGGTCAGGGTGGACTTCCCTGAAAAGGAGACAAATGAGCAAAGGCTTGAAAAGACATCGAAGTATATGCAAAGTGACCACTTCTCAATACTCCCACTGCTACTTCCCTTCCTTGCCTGGATTACTGTGGTGGCCTCCTAACCTGCTCCTGCTCATACCTGCCTTACTCCCTCAGCAGTCTATGCTCAGGACAGGAGCTTGAGATTTCCCTTAAAGGTAGACACTGATGTCACTCTTCTACTCCAAACCTTACACTCCTGCTGAAAGGAAAAGTCAAAGCCCTTATGATGGATGGCCTAAAATGCACTCCGCAAGTACACCAGGTACTTACATTCTTTCTGCCTACGATACTGTTCCCCAGACTTCCGCAGAGCTCGCTCCCTATCTCCTACTGCTCAAACGTCACCTCTTCAGTAAGGCCACCGTATTTAAAATTCCAACTCCCTCCCACTCTATTCCCCACTTCATCCCCACAACCACTAATTCTATTCCCTGCTTTCTTTTTATCCCATAGTACGAACCAAATAATATGCTCTAAAATTCACTCATGTGTTCACTATCTCTCCTAACTAGAGCATAAGCTTCATAAAGACAGGAATTTTGCTTTATTTTGTTCACTGGTGTATCCCTAGTGCCTAGAATGGTACCTGGCACACAATCAAGCCTCAATAAAAAAATCACTGAATGAATGAATGAAATTTGGTTCCTCTCCTGAAAGCTGAGTAATAATTTAAGGAAGCTCAAGTACCCCTTTAGCCCACCTTTGGAAACGGAACTGCTGTCGTGATGAGAACAGGCCCCACTACAATGATCACACTTGAAAATACCTAAGCTTTTACATTATGGGATATGCCACAGACATCATGACTCTCAGTCTTTCTTCCTCAGAAAATGAAACCCCTATGAACATTTAAGAAGTCTTTTCCAGGTTACCTGGCTTGTTTCTCTCAGGAAAACATGTGTCCATGAAGTCTGCAATATTTTCTCTGTATCTGTTAAAAATTAAAGACTGAGTCATTGTTTGAAGCTTTACACCATGGAAGTGTATTAATATTTAATAACAATAAATAGCACAATAAAGCAGCACTGTGTGGCATCCTAAATACGCTTAGGCTTTCCTCTAAAACAAACTGAACAGAAGACCGAAGACTCTTCCCATTTAGCAAGTACCTTCTTGTTTCTACATTAGTAGCAGTTTAAACTATAGTCTCCATCAAGAAATTCTGACTTAAATACATGTACCTTATCATGATTTTGCCCAAAATAATTTATTGTAAGTTTTCCTTTACCTAATTTTGGAATCTCTAACATAGTTAGGGTCTTTCAAATTATCCTCCCAAGGAAGATGGCCACTAAGCCACTGGATCATGCAATAACCAAGGATTTCCAAATCACCACGTCTTGACGGGGCTATGAATACAAAAGAAGCAGGTTAAGCACCAAAATCACTTTGAGGTATAGTTTCAAATATATATAAACCAATAAGGTAAAACAGCCAATCTTATAGTCTTGTTTTTCATCAAAACTTATCACTGCATTTAGTAAAAGTACTGAATAAATATTGGGCAATATGAAAGAAATAATTTACATCCAACTAAGAACTTACTTTAAAATCCAAACAGACAAACTCTAGAGCTTCAAACTGAGACTACTGGTCTAGGAAATAGATTATAAAGCAGACACACATTTAATACTATCCTTGGAAAGTTCAAAGACACTAAAACGCTGTAAGCTACAGAGAGGCCCAGAGAACTGGGGTCTCAGCTCCTCCACAGGGCTGGGCACAGAAAAGGAAAACGCCTGCTAAAGGAATAAGCCGACTTCAGAGGTGACAAAGTCAGTGTGCCTGCTACAAAGTTGTGGCTGCCTAAGAAACTTACAGACTTTTAGGGGGAAAAAAAATTCCCCACATTCGACTAAGCTAAATAGAACCAAAAAGAAATCCTCAGTGAGCTGACCGAACCACATTCCCTGCTAAAACCAAGGTCAGAAGAAGGGAAAGACCCTGGTGGCCCCGTTACACGACTACAGGAGTCCAACCTCCTCCCCCGACCCTTTCCCCACCCTACCTGCCTCTGCGATTCTTATTTATCTGCTTGCTTATTTGTACAAAATTAAGAACATGCAGGATTTCAACTGAAATGTTAGCAGCATATTTCTGTCAGGTGTCATTGACATACCGACACCATTGTGCGCATCAATGCTGGTGAATTCAATAGTGCCATCATGACATCTTTTGGGGTCTTCTTTGTATTCTTTATGAATTCCTTCTGGGCAATACCGGTAAGCAAGGCCGTAATCTACCAAGTACACCTATAAATGTCCAAGCACCAAGAAAAATCAAAGCCAAAATGATTGCACATATACTCCTTTATGGCCCAGAGACAAAATACTGTCATTCGAAGGTGGATTCATTTGCAAGGCCACCCCACTGTACCTGAAACAAGTGAGATCCAATATGCTAACAAAAGCAAATACTTAATCCTGAAAGGCTTTTTTTTTTTTTAAGATTTATTTATTTATTTTGAGAGAGAGCAAGAGAGCACGCGCATGCACCTGAGTGTGCAGGCAGGGAGGGACAAAGAGAGAGAGAGTCTTAAGCAAACTCCATGCTGAGTGCAGAGCCCAGTGCAGGGCTTGATCTCAGGCCCCTGAGATCATGACCTGAGCCAAAACCAGGAGTCAGACACCTTACGGACTTTGCCACCCAGGCACCCCAATTCTGAAAGACCTTTTATTTCAAGAAAAATGTGAATGTTCACGTCACTATAGTCCAGATAATATCACCTGCCTCTATACACTTTAGGTAAATATGTTATACTTGTAATTAATCCTGTCTCAACTTGAGCAAAGACTATAAATCTTATATTTTTTCTTGCAGAGTCCAAAACAGAATTAAGCACAGAGGAAACCATCAATACTTGTTGCAATACAACTGCCCCACAGCAAGTATAAGACTACCTACTTAGATGACACACGATAATTAATTATTTTCTATTCCTCTGCTCCTCCACTTATGAAATAATCAATTTATCAATTCACTTCATAAAATTATTTCCGATAATAATGATCTGAAAAATCTTTAGATAAGGCTCTTATCTCCCTTTAAATATATATTAAAGTCAAGTTTCATAATTAAAACTAAATTTTAATATTACAAAGCATATATCTGTGGGCATGTACTTGAGGGTCTCATGAGCATACAAAGCCAGTAAATTTGGCTTTCTTCTATTCCATAGCCACATATCACATCTCTGGTTCTGGGTAACTGTCTCACAAATGTATGCATGTGATCACAAGAGGAAACTGAAGTAAAAATATGGGGATGGATCTAGCACACACATCTAACACTAGAAAAATAATCCCATCCAAAGCATATGCCCGAAGGATAACGGAGCTGCAAAAATATTTTCCTACAAACAAAAGGCAGCATATTTTAGCTAACTGCAAACTGAACTAAACTGTATTTTTATTTATTGCATTGTACAAGTCCAGTTCACTTCAATTAATGGAATCCTTATGGTTCAGGTTCTCAGCCATGTTCTGTTTGTTTGCTTGCTTGCTTTTAACCTTTTTAAAAACATCTAACACAAGACGTCTGGGAATCCTGTGAGTGCCTGTAAGATTTCCCCACGAGCATGCTACCGTATAGGGACTTTCCTCTGTTGTACATGGAGATCCCTGACCGCCACCATGACAGAGACGGGGGATGGAGGCAATACCGGAGATGGTAGAAAATAGAGGCAAGGTGAAGGGAAAGGGAAAAACTAAGCAAGAGAAAGTTAAAGATTGGTTTGAGAAAAAAATAAAATGGAGTGTCAACATAAACACACTTAAAATACTTAGATAGCCCTTTCTTATACACCATCAGTAAGATGCAAGAACATACATGGGACAGATTCCACACAGTGGCCTGACCAGGAGTGCCAACCAAACCTTACTTTAACCGAAATTGTGGAAACAGCTTCAAGAAAATTGCATAAACCCCTCCACTCCAACTAAACTGATCCAAATAAAGGTATAATAGCATTAGCTTTTCTCTTTTCCTTAAAAAGTAAAAATTACAAAGTGAATACAATAAACTAAAAAAAGTGCACATTTGAATTCTAAACACTAAGGGTATACAAATTTAGACAGCTAAGATATTTCTGTAAACCAATTGATTTGAATAATCAACATGTTAAAGACCAAATTTTCCAAGTAACAGAACACTTATATTTGATGGATTTCTTGAACAAAGGAAATAAAAAAATGACAAAGCAGACAAGCAAACATAATTCATCGGTGCACTATATAATTTTAAGCTTCCACCCCCAAACAGCTATTTGAAATTCATTTTGTATCACAAGTACTTCTTCTGAATATTATTTAGGGCAAAATAGCCAACTTGATAAAGTGCCAACAAATCGCATCAGAAATGTAGAATGTTAACTAGATAAAAGTGTCAAGAAGAAATATTATTATTACCGTATCTACTCCAAAAAGTAAAACTTCTGCACAGGTTCAAAAGTTCAAAGCAACCATATTTGTTTTCAAACAACAGCTTTTAAATAGTAGAAATTAAAGTTAATAAAGCTACCTGGTCAGGATTCTTGTAGCTCAAAAGAAGATTTGAGGCCTTGATATCTCCGTGTACATACTCATGCTCGTGAATATATTCCAGAATATCCAGCTATGAAAGCATCATATAGAATAAATTAATGCAGTACCTAACACCAGCCAGCAGAGGACTGAGCTTCAACACAACTCGCCTTTACTGGATTAAAACAAGAGGAATGTAGCTCACATACAATTCTCAAGCTTAGCTGCAAGACAGTTTTCCGAGAAAACCTTCTGGCATTTGCTTCATATATTTTCTGAAGGTCACTTCCAAAGCGATCCATTATCATAAACCTGTAACTAAAGACAAACAAGAAAAGTCAATGAACAAAACAGAACTCTGGAAAACCTACTTTGCAGTGACTACTCTCCCTTCACAGTAATTTTTTCAAGGCCATGTTTAGTGAGAAAGCAGAATGAAAAGGGAAAAAAGGAGAAAGAAGGAAAGAAAGACAAACATTTGAAACCGTTTCTTCCAGCTAGAAATCTCAAGAGTTGGGAGTGCTTCCCTGTGCTGCCCAGAGGGCCTCCTCGTGGTGGCAGCCAGGTGGTTTCCTGCGACACTACTCAACGTGAGCTAATCAGCCCACAGACAGATGCTCGCGATTCGTTCACAGGAAAGAGGAGACAATCCATGTAAGACTAGTATCATGGATTTTCCTCACACCAAAGTTAATTTATGTTTCTGGATATTAGCTTGTTGTTTTTCTCTACTTTCAGGGCACATTTTAGCAGTATTAACGTTTTATTAAAATCGAGACTATCAAGAGATGCTGTAATAATAGCTAAATTCAATAAAATTGTTTAAATGGTATAAAAGGGCTATATGTTAAATACTCAAAGGACAAAAGCTAGGGAAAAACAAATATCCTGGGGAAATGTGCAGATTTTTGGTTTTGCCACAAACCCACTAAGTCACCTTGGCCGAGTCACATTACTTCTGTGAGACCTAATCCCCACAGATATGGAATGACAGCGTGGGGCCTCATGCGTGTTGAGATCTTTTCTGGCACTCAAATTCCAACATCTGACAACCGTAAGTGACATTTCTGTGTGTGCCCGAAAAGCAACACCTCACTCCAGTAACACAGTTCACCGTATGCTCTGAGGATCACTTTTATCTTTATCAAGTTTTCCAAATTCTGATTCGTCTGGTTAAATTACTCCATAAATCAGTAAAAACCAAGGCCACACTCACAATGTACATTCCAATGGGGATAAGATTAGGAATGATGATCGTAACAACAGCGAGCACGAACTAAAGCCTTGGTCTGAACACAGCACTGTTCTGAGTACTTCACATGTGCTAGTGTGTGTCAACCTCACATCACCCTCGTGAGGCAGGGGCTCCTATTCGCCCCATTTTACAGCAGAAGAAAACCGATGACTGGTAATTTGTCCTGTAGGAAGTGGTGGCACCATGGTTTTTCACCTCTACACTAAACATATCCAAACAAATAAACGTCAGTGGTACACAAAAATCCCCTTATTTTTATCTGAGAAGCCTACAACACATACCATATGACACGTTCAACAGGGAAGGAAAGCTAACATTAAAAGACAACATGCCAAATTAAAAAAAAATCAGGATTCTATCCATTTTTGAATTGGAAGAGAATGAGAGATCAACTTGTCTAAACATATTTTAATGAATAAATTAATTAAGTCTATAGAGGTAAAGTGATTTGTCCAAAGTCATGCAGTTAGTGAGAGGCAAAATGTATTCATTCATATAAGATTTTCCAGTACACTGCGAACTCTATCATCATAAAGAAGGAACAATAATTCTGACTTCCTGATTTCCTTTGTACAACAGGTTTTGAAAGGTTGAGGGATGAGAACAGGACACACACACACATTTGTTTTTACAGTAAGTGATGTAATTAGTATAAAATAATACAGGGGTAACAAAAATACAACCTCTGGTAAGAGTCTAAAAGAGGGCTAAAACACAACTGCTTAATTCAACATGAGATCTATTAATACATCACACTGAGTACATCTTTGTTTTTATTCACAAACCACTCCACCAGTACTGTAAATCATCCCCTAATCGCCTGTTTCAAATTATACACATCAACTGATTTTCCAACATTTGCATTTTATCATTTGCATTTATCCAAGTCTCCAGGAAAGTACACATTGATGGTTTCCATTACTGGCCTCAGGCTCCTTCCCCCTTCCACATGCACATCCTATTCCTTGAGAAAGAGCAATGCCAAGTGCCACAAGGCAGGCCAGAGACCTACCGGGTCCCTGCATTTGCAATACTCTCCGGCCTAAGACGTATCCTGTTCTCCAGTGGTTTTCTAAATTGGTAGTTCTGAACATTTAAGGGATTAAGGCCCCTTTGAGAGTAAAAGCTAAAGTAAAAGCTAACACAGTATTTTACATATATTCTAACAGCTTTACGTTTCATCCCCCTTATTAAGTGGGGAGCTATTCTTCAATTTCACAGATGAGGAAATTGAGGCCAAAAGGAGTAACTTACCCAGTCACATACATTTTAAGGAGCAAAACACAGATTTGAAACCAAACAGTCTGGCTCTAGAATCCCTGCTCTATATGTAATTATTCCTTGCTCTATACTACTTCTCCAGAAATTTTCATAAAAACTATAGAGACTTGTCCCAGCAAAACCATATGTAACAAAAAAATGCTATCATTTCAGGAAGTTCGCCATATTCCCTAAGAGGTACACAGATCCCAGGATAAGAACTTCCAAGAGAAAAACAGCGCTGGCTGCCCACCCAACAACTACCTCTCCTCTCCATCCTTTCCAACAGAGCACCAACTGGGTTCAAGCATTCCATCCTCTTCCACATGGCCGCATGCTTTGCCATGCCCATCACTGTGATCGCTTGGCCCTTGTTGGTGACTGGTTTAAGAATAAGCACCGATAAAACCCGGACCAAGAAACATGAGAGGAAGGGAGGTTCCTTTACCAGGAAAGTGAAACACAGAACAAGCAATACCTTCTACTGCCGTGAGCTGCTGCGTCTGCATGTGATGCCTAGAAATGGGGCAGCCACCCTGAGGCCACACAATGGAGAATTAATACAGCACAAAGCCAAGAGGAGGAGGGAAAAAGGGCAAGATAAAGGAACCTGGATCCCTGACGATCACTTCAGAGTCAAAGTTTTCCTTTACTTGCAGCTGAAAGCACCCTAACCAATATACCCCCAGGACCGAACTAAATCTACTTCTCGGACAGCTGCCAGCCTTACTCCAGGAAGTTCCATTCATTCATTCAAATATTTTTAAAATGTCAATCATGCACCAAAGTATGGGAGGTTTTCTCCAATTCAGCGGTGCCAACAAGGTTCTCTCTCCAATCTCAGAACTCCTAAGACACAAACGAAGCAGAGTCGCACAGTTTAGTAGCACTTAGTGGTTATAATTGTCTCATACTTGTTTGTGTTTTCTCACCAGCTGGACTGAAATGTCATAAAGAGGAGGATGCTGCCACGGGCAGATCATGTATCTAATATGAAACACCAAACTGAAGCCTGAAGGGCTCCCTTTCCCATAAACGACATGGAGTTTTTGTTTGCCTGCTTGCTTATTTGTAAGAGGAAAAAATGCAGGGTGCTTTTGCTTTGTTCCTACTCATCAGCTGGGCTCTAGTCAGTTCTAGTGCTCTGCACAAGTCCTCCAGACTAGGGATAATGTCCTGTTCATCTCTGTTAAGTGCATGCCCTGCAGCCCAGATGTAGGCCCGGCAGAATTGCAGGTGCTCAGTAAACCATGGACAGTGAATGCTCAAAACAGGGAGAAGAAACACAAAACATGCAAATTTTTACCTTTTTCCATTTTTATCATGTAGGCCAGACCCCCAATACTTAGGAACGCCCAGGTACTTCAGTTTATGGGTGCGAATCCACTTCTGAACTACAAGTTAAAAAACACAGGCCTGTGATTTCACTTTTGTTTTACATGATTTTTTAAATCATTAAGAGCAGAATGTACTTATACATGCAATAAGAGTTCATCTTTTTTCATAAAAAAGTGAACAATACATTATAATAACAAATAACAAGTACCTTGCAATCAAAACATTTTTATTAACCCACAAAATTTTATCCTGCTCTAAGCATTGTCTTTAAAATGAAAAATCTGCGAAAGGCATTTAAAAAAAGAAAATCCAACCACATTATGCCAGTTGCTATTACTAGCTCTAATGATATAAATGGTTACTCACTTCTCCAGAAAGACATTTTACCCAATCTGGAAGTTGTTTACCTCATTTCCAAAGGTCGTCAACCAGGAAATAAAGCCCTGGGGGGGAGGGGGGGGGGCTTGAAGAGGTCTAGCTCTCTTCCCTGCAGGTTGTTCTGATTCATCAATTACAGCATCCCCCTCTGCCCAGGTTATGTTCTCCAGAGTTTAGAAAAAATTCTCAAAAAGACTGGGAGTCCCATACATGAATTAGGATTACTTCTCAATTTTTAACAGTATTTACTAAATCCTATATCCTCTACTAAATTTATTCTATATGTCAATATAAGTGAAATCTTATCATATCAAACCCAATAAGAGATCAGAATTCTTTCATACAAGTAAAAAACAAAAAGCATGGTAATATCAGATCCAGTGCTCTAGTCTTGACTTCACACAACAAGCGGCAGTCACTTTAAGAGTGTAGGCGTAAGTGTGCCTTATTCCTTACTTTGCTCTGGTTTGGCAGCTCGCTGGTAGAACTTCAATTCAGTAAAGAGAGGTCCATTGTCACTGGGCTCCTTAAAACATAAGAGGTAATTGGCGCTAGCAGTCGTTAACATTATGGAGTCATTTTTAATGAAACTTCAAGAAGCACTGATGTCAAAAAACATCAGTGTTTCTTTCCAATGTAATTGTGATAACTTAAGTTTGTAACTATGTTTAAGGCACACCCTCTTTAAAAATGTTTTAGATATTCTCAGAAGAGTCCATGAATCTTGGTATTTTTGTCAAGGTCCACTTCTGTAAGTGATAAAATGTTCAAAATCAGATATACAGCTCCATCTTCACAGAAGTTTAAGAAAAATATTTAAACTCATTTTCATCTTTGTTAAGCTTTCTCTTAAGCAATAACTGGCAACCATGTAAACTGTTTTACCAAGGGGCTATCAGAATTTTATTTCTGAGATCTAATAAAATTCCAATACCCGACTTAACCAATCAGTGGCAAAATCCAACTCTTGTCCCTGTTTCTCAGGGAAAACTTGTATCTAGTTGATCAGGACTGGCAGAAACCAACCTTGTCACAAAGGGAATTTTCTGGAACTCCAGAGCGAGCAAGCACTGTCCACTTAGTGACATCCCTTCCTTGCTGGCACTGATTCCCGCCTTTTTCAAACTAAGGAGCCCCACAATTCACTTCCCACGTGATAATTCAAAGTCAAGAGGAAACTGGGGCTCGGTAATAATTGTTTTCCACCAACTTTACTGGACTACATTCATTTTACATTTTAAGGGATAGTAACAGTTAAAATGATTGTAAAGAGTTATGTATGCACAAAAAGGCATGGACAAACAAGAAATATCAGCCTGTTGGGAGTTTGCCTTGTTAAATACACATGGGAAGGGTAAAAAAGACCTTACAATTTTGTGGACTTTTTAAATAGTAAGTTGTGTCTGAATCAAAAGTGGTTAGTATGTCAAGTTTGATCATTTCTGTTGGTATTAGCTTATTTATTGAGAACCTGAGAAAAATTCTGAAAAGCAGTGAAAACTTCAAATAAGGAAGCTAACATTTCCAAACTAATTCTAGGGTTGCTTTTCCTTTACGAAATACGGGAAGAAAGTCATTTTGGACAGAACATCTGTGCAGCTGGAGTTCCAAGGTCAGCAGAGCATTATAAGAAATGACAATAAGGCTCACTAGCTTTAGGAATCCCTAGTAACAGCACGTATAGGAAGACTGGTCGGCCAATCTGCAAAGAGTCAGGCAGCACCTAGTTAAGAACGAGCACTCAACCGCAAACAGGCAACATACACAACTAACACGTGGATCAGAACCTGAAAATAAACTTGCCTTGTTCCAGGTAAGTATACTTGCCTGTAAGTATACAGAATGGTACAGAGGGCTTGGCATCTCATCACCTCTTAAGAAGTAGAAGCTAACCAACATATAAGGTATGAGTCCAAATCCCTAATTTTTGGACTCGGTACCTCAAGTGTCACCATAACCTGCGGCTCTTTTCTTGGCATCAGTGCTCTCTGGATAGACACCTGTACCTGTTCAGAGCCCACAGCCAGGCCTTCAGCAGAAGCAGCAGTCTCCGTGAAAGAAATGAAAAAAGTAGTCGAAATTCAAGAGAAGACATTTTGGTGAAGTTCTCTCCAAAGGCTAACTTTTAGAATAGCTTATTAATATAATTCAAGTTTGAAAGGGGTTTTCCTAAGACAAATCCTGGCTTATTACCATCGTATAAAATTCTGATTCATTCCATTTCGACCTATGTCATATCAACTTTCATTTCCAAGCTTCCCTTCGGGCAATAATTTATTAAACTTATAATAATAAGAATCAACCTATATAAATCAGACTATTATAATGAAAGCCCCACTACAATGAAGGCTCTTTGAGCTCATTTCATACTTTTTTCTAATCCAATAAGGTTCCATTATAACAAAATAAAGGAGCTACTTCCTTGGCATTGCACTCTGGCCAAAGCTCGCTATTTCCGTGGAAGAAAATACCTTAACTCATAACTAAAATTTTATTAACATATTTCAAATCTAAAATACTTTGCCAACTCTATAATAGCCAAGATTTAGAAAAGAAATTGGGACTGACATTTTAACTAGAATATCACTAAACGTTTCTTTAAGACTTCTAAGTGTCAAAATGAAGATGACAACAGAAAAAAAATTAAAATGTGATATATTTCAATGGCACCCTCTAAAAGCAACTGGCTGCCATTTAAAAATGAAGCTGTATAAAGTTTCCCCCTCCTACCAAAAAATTATGATATATGAATTGAAAATTCAGGTCACTTCTCATAAAGTCTGTGAGAGAAATTAAACATCAGTCTGCAAACTTCTTGCCAGGGAACTTCAAAATACAGACTTTATGTCCATTCACACTGTAAAGGGACCACGAAATAAGGAACTGTTATGTTAGGCTATAAGACCCAAAAGCCCGCCCTCCCCCTCAGTTCTGCTCTGAGCTCACTGACATGACTGCAAAGGGGGAGTGTAACTGAAAACTAATTCGTTATCAAGGCTGTTAACAAGAAAACACAAAAGAGTATTTTTTTCCTCCTTCCATTATCCAACTTTTTACCAATTTCCCATTTCTCACTGCACATCATCTTTCCTGAGATAAAATACAGATAGGGTATCTCAGTTATCTAAAGGCAGAGAATACAAATTTACCATCTCTGGTGACCCCAGCACCACAGTTCCAAGGCTGCTCCCCTAAGTCAATAAGGAATAAGGCCCTAAACAAAACCAGAACGGTCATTTGGTAGGAGAGAGAAAATATTCAGTATGTACCTAAACATCTATCTTGAATATGTCTGTCTTAACTTAATTTCAAGACCAAATGTAAGAAATTCGTGGGTTCACCATCCGAAGCTCTTTCCCAGAGCAGGGATGCATATTAGCAGCAACCACATTTTTTGACAAATCTTCCACACTGAGGTGGGAAGCCCTACCAGAAGCACAGGGAACCTGCCGCCTCACTGAATGAAAGGATCCCCAAAAGTACACATGAGCATGCATGATTCCAATGAAAATAATGAAGGTGCTGAACCACTCTACCAGTGGTTCTCAACCTTGAGGCACAAAAGAATCCCGTGGGGAGCTTTACTAAAAATACCAATAACCAGGCTCTGCACTCAGAGATTCTGATTATACCGCACAACCGGAGTGGAGAACCACTGTTTGATTTGATATGCCATTGCATTATTAAGTCTAATTTCACATTAAAAATCAACTTGCCTTTGATTTTTTTTTTTTAAGATTTATTTATTTATTTGAGACAGAGAAAGAGGGAGAGAGAGAGGGCATGCACACAGAGAGAGAGGGAGCAGACTCCCAGCTGAACAGGGAGGCCAATGCGGGCTCAATCCCAGGACCCCGAGATCATGACCCAAGCTGAAGGTAGACGCTTAACCGACTGAGCCACCCAGCCTTCGATTATTTCTTAAATAACATTTGCTAAGGTGATTTTTCTCCAAAGATAATATATGTGCTTATTTTAGAAAATTTGGAAATATTTTGACATATTTTCTTCACATTTATGGCTGTTTTATAAAATTACCTCCATACTACATGTAGTTTTGTATCTTGCTTTTTTTTAGTAATTACTTATGAAATTCCCCCAAAGAGTAGTACCTGTTCTTTGAAAACATGATTTTTAATAGACCTTAATGTTTTAAATGGCAAATGTTCATAAACATTTGATTTTCATACTGGAAAGATCTGATACTCATTTTACAGGCTTGTGTTTGGTGAACCATTTCCACCTTTAATATTATAAAGCTCTGAGAGCAAAAGACTTACAGAATAAGTAGCAGACAGAGCTACGTCACAGCACGTCACAAGTGAAGGCAAATGATGCTACTTGAAAAGACACAGACCAGAGATGAAAGTGGGTGGCCCCAGGAAATCAAAAGGTGACGGGAAATTATGGCTACAAAGTTTTCAGAAGAATAAAATAGGCATTTAAAAACGTGATAAAGAAAACAAGTTTACAACGAGGTCCTTAGCATTAAACAACTTGAAATCCTGCTAAGCAGAAAAACACATACAAAATTAAAAGCAACTGTGGCGTGGGAAGGATATTAGCATCTGAAATGGTAAAATAAATGTAAACAGAATGAATGCTACTAGAGTTCCAAGGAATTCAGAGAGGATAAGGATCTGGGAAGGAACCAGCAATAGCAGCTACAAGGCTCTCCCCGAGAGAGGAAAAGGAAAGTCAGTAACACTGATTTGTTTATGGCATTCTTCCAGGATCACAAACTACCACACTGAAAATGTTGCTAAGATATTAAATGCAAAAGAGAAATCAACTGACTATTTACCATTGTCCTAATGACAAAGGAGTAATACAGGCCAATGGAAACAGAACTAAATTAGGAGACAGGAGAGATGCAGAGCACTAAACTAGGTTTGATAACAAAAGGCTTTAAAACTAGAAATAAAGAGTAATTTACTACCTTATTAAGCAGTTAGGAAATGCTTGTTCCTACTCATTTTTTTTCATAACTCTGTAAGTAAAACAGGGAGTACAAGTGAGGTTACATTAAATAACAACTAAAATACTTAGAATGACCCATAATAAAGAAGAGCATCTTCATTCTAAACCAAACCACGGTTAGAAAAATCTCAGGCTATCCAGAAGAAAACAGACACGGTGACACACCAGCCCCACCTGTCAGGTGTGGCCCTGGTGCTGTCCTTCCAACACGTGGGGAGGGCAGTGCAGGTCAGCCAACGGCAAGGTAGTCACAGCCAACCACGTTTTTTGAACCTCAAGACTGTGAGAAGTCATAAGTGGACCTGCTCTCTTCTAACAATGGAAACTTTAAGATCCTAAGAAGAAAGTGGTCTTGCCTGCAGATTTTAATTTTAATCTGTCATATCAAAGACAAATGCAAATAACATTCTGTGTTTCCATACAAACAACCCAATTTAATAGTAAGAACTTTCTTCCTCTGATACAGCAGCAAACTGAGTATTTCAAAAGAAATATTAGTCCACAGAGAGAGAGAAAAAACCAAAATGAAAGGGCTTAAAGAAAAGCAAAATGCCTGGATATGCCCATCAAGGTATCAACTTTACTTACAGGCCTGACAGAGTAACTGGGACCCGATTAGCCCACTGCTATAAACAAATATAAAAACTGGACAAAACAGATGGAATCCCTCCTTTCAGGCAGTATAGACCGTGGTCTTTAAAAATTGGGAAACAAATCAGGGCATGTGGGTGACCAGTCAGGATCTCAGGGTCGTGAGATAGGGCCCTGGAGTCAGGCTCTGCGCTCAGCAGGGAGTCTGCTTGAGATTCTCTCCCTCTGCCCCTACCTCTGCCTGGCTCTCTCTCTCCCTCTCTTTCTCTCTCTCTCTCTCTCTCTCGATCTAGAAATAAATAAAATCTTAAAAAAAAAAGGGGGGGGGGAACAAACACAATGAGCCCCAGGCCAGACTCCGCTTTCCTCACAGAGGCACCAGGAGTAAAAAGGAGGTGATCCAGGGTTCTGCAGGGCAAGAAGGAAACCGAGTGCCAATAACCCTGATGCCAAAACTAAACAATGAGAGTGGACATTTTTAAAATTTAGAAATATTAGTAAAAAAATTAAAGACCAATATCCCTCATGAACAAAGATGGAAAAATCCTTAACAAAATACTGACAAATCAATGTCAGCATTATGTATAAAGCATAATATACCATAACTAAGTGGAGTGTATGTTAAGAATAAAAGTTTTACACTCAAATTACCAATCAATATTACTGCCACATTAACAGAATAAAGGAGAAAAATCCTATGATCCATCTCAAAAGGTGCAGAAAGGCATTCAAAAAACCAAACAGGCAAACGACAAACTGGGAGAAAATATTTACAATGCACACATCTGGAATAGGACTTGCATCCAGAACAACTCTCTTACTACTCAATTATAAAAAGCAAAACAACCTAGTTATTTCAAACAAACAAAAACTGAGGAGGCACGTCACAAAATACATCAATGGCCAGTAAGCACAATTCCTTGGGAAAACTAATCAAAATCAGCCATCAGGTAAAACTCTGAGACACTACTATACACCCAACACCATGGCTGCAAAACAATCCCGCCCACCTGACAACCACACAGTCAAGGATCTGGAACGAGCAGGACTCTCCTACCTCACTGGTGGATGTGTAAAATGGCACAACCACTTTGGAAATCTGTCTGGTACTTTCTTATAAATTTAAATATACACCTTTCCTATAAACCAGCAATTCTCCTTTCAGATATTTATCCAAGAGAAATAAAAACCTTGTACAAAAATTTTTATAAAAGCTTTATTCATAATAGCCAAAAACTCTATCAACAGGAAATGGAAAAAAAGACTATGTCTATATAATTTTCTGAGCAGTAAAACTGAACGAGTTAATTGATACACCAACAACATGAATGAGTCTATTAAACATTTTGTGGAGCATAAGAAGTCAGAAACAAAACAGTATATACTGTATAATGTATACGACATTCTAGGCAAGAATAATCCACAGCACAAAAAAAAATTTTTTTTCAGAAAAAAAACTCGGGTAAGTAGTTACCTCCAAGGGTGCAGGATGTAGGGGTTTGACCAGAACACAATATAAGAAATCTTTCTGGGGTGACAGAAATGTTTTATATTTTGATACAGGTGGGAGATGTACAAGTACATGCACTTGTCAAAAGTATTCAAATTATTTAGTATCCATGGATTTCCTTGTAAAAACTATGCCTGAATAAAAAGTATTAAAAACAATCACTAAAACAACTCAGGTCCAAAAGAGTTAATTCACAAGGGATCAAATATATTCCTCATTGAAAAGAAAGTGAAATAAAACAAACCAAAACACAAAACTTGAGGATAATTCTGATTTCTGTAGCCGTTAGAAAGAAAGGAGGGGTGGGGAACTTATGTAATTTGCCCAAATTAACAGAACCTGTTATCTCTTCTATTATTTAACAAAAACATGTTCTTCACACAGAGTAAAGAACTTTGAGAGGAGTTAGAAATGTAACTTTGCAAGCAGAAAGATGCGTAATATATTCTTAGCAAAAAATAGTAGTTAAAATGCCTTTTAGTGCACCAGTGTGTAAGATGACCTGACTATTCAAAGTATGCTTATATCAGACGGGATGCTGTCAACCTTTACTCATCACACACTAATTTCAACATTAGTTTAGCAAAAAGAAGGTTCAAAGTGATCACAATTAAATAAAAAATTTACTAAAATGGATGGGGAAGGGAAAACTGGAAATAAAATGAAAAAAATTGACCAAGTGGAAGTTCAGAAGCAAATGCAAGATAAAATACAATAAAATTTCATTAGAGTAGTATAGTATTGTGGGATATAAATAAAAAAGTAGCTCATCTTTTGTAAATATAGCTGAAATAAAAAGAATGAGCTGAGTATTTTTATTCCACATTTGTACACCTCCATACTTTCATTCATTTTTCCCCCAAATACCAGGATCACTCTAATTTAAAAGAGAGGAAATGGACTTTTTGAACTAAATTACTTAAAACTATAAAGATACTTTTGTGTCTTATTAAACATTTATCAAACATTGTTAAAAATGTAGTACCTTATGGTTTCATTAATTCTAGTTATCAAAGAGGATGTCTTACAAAATAAATACTACACCCATTCAACAAAAAAGAAAATCAGCTAAAATATTTTCTTACCACTTTTACAACACAGGGTGCATCGCTTCCCACCGATTTTGAAGAATTCATATCAGCTGTTTGAAAAAGGGATATATGTAATATCAGAACAAGAAGTAGCATTATTTTAATTAGCCTGTTACTAACCCTTTGTTAATATTTAGGTCTGTATATCTATAACTCCTTGATAGAATAAATTTCAGTTCCCAAATAGGTGTCTCAGGATATCATTACAGTATATTTCATCAATTTGAAGCCTTTTTTTTTTCATGATTTAACATATCTGAAATTGGAAGGCATTTTATAATTGCTGGTATCTTCAATAGGATCATCAATTAAGTATGGAAAACTCTGAGTTAAAGATTTCTTTAATTCAGAAGTACTCATGGCCTTTGATATGCTAATGTGAGTTGTGAATTCCCAAGAGGATGGTAACTGATGACATTTCTTTTTTTTTTTTTTAAAGATTTTATTTATTTATTTGAGACAGAGAGAATGAGAGAGAGAGAGAGCACATGAGAGGGGGGAGGGTCAGAGGGAGAAGCAGGCTCCCCGCCGAGCAGGGAGCCCGATGCGGGACTCGATCCCGGGACTCCAGGATCATGGCCTGAGCCGAAGGCAGTCGCTTAACCAACTGAGCCACCCAGGCGCCTTTTTTTTTTTTTTTTAAGATTTTATTTATTTATTTATTTGAGAGCGAGAAAGAGCATGAGAAGGGGGAGGGTCAGAGGGAGAAGCAGACTCCCTGCCGAGCAGGGAGCCCGATGCGGGACTCGATCCAGGGACTCCAGGATCATGGCCTGAGCCGAAGGCAGTCGCTTAACCAACTGAGCCACCCAGGCGCCCACTGATGACATTTCTTAAATTTCACAAACCAGGGAACCTTTCTAAGAAGGGGCAAAAAAAAAAAAAAGGTAAGGGGGAGCTAAAGTTCCAAAAAGCACTAATTTGGGGGGAAAAGAATTCATCTGTATCAATAATTCAGGCTGTTGGCACTAGAACTTTGAACTGCCATCCATAATAATCGTCATGTGGCTGTCACTGTATTTCATGCAAATAAAGCACAGGTGCCCTGGAACACTAAGTCAGGAATATAAGGCTGCCCACACTCATGAAACAAATATTTTTAACCACGCACCTACGATATGCCAGTTTCTAGGAAATTGACTTAGTAATGAACAGGAAGAAATAATCGCTATGCTACTCTTAGGAAGCTAACGGTGGTAGGACACAGACAACAATGAAGTATAAAGTATGCTTGATGGTGTCAGTGTTATGGGGGGAAAACAAAGCGGGAAAGGAAGGCAGGTGTGTTGCAAGCTCCTAAGAGAAACCTCACTGACAGGGTGTCCCTGGAGCTGTGGTCTGAAGGCAGTGAGGGAATAAGTCATGTAAATGTCTGGGAAGAACATTCCAGGCAAACCAGCACAAAGGCCCTGACATGGAAGCCTCTGCAAGTCTGTGGAAAGCAAGAAGGCCAAAGTAGCTGGAGAGAAGTGAGAAAAGTGAGGTGGAAAGTAACAAGGGACAGATCAGAAAAGCAGCAGGGACCAAACACCAGCATGACAGGTGACGTAAAGCTGTCACTATGAACTGAGAGAGCCACTGGAAGGTTCTAAGAAGAGGACTGGCAAAATCAGACTTTTGATTTTTTAAGAATTCTTCAGGCTTCTTAGTGAAGAATGGCGTGCAGAGGGCAAGGGCAGAAGCAGGGAGGTTGGCCAGGCTATGACGAGACGTGGTAGCAGATAAGGTGGTGATAAGTGGTCACACTGTGGACGTATGTTCAAAGAAGAGCCAAAAGGAGATGTTGATAAACTGGGTATGGAGCGCAAGAGGGGAAGAGGAGGTAAGGAGACCTCCAGGTTTTCAGCCTGAGCAACTGAAAAGAGGAAGTTGCTACTTACTAAGATGGAGGAAGCTGCAGGAAGAGCTGGTGCTTTAGGGAGCCTTATGCCTGAGATGCTTAGTAAACATCCAAGTCCACATGTTATGCAGGCAGTTGATATACAAGTCTTGAGTTCAGAAGAATGGTCCAAGTTGGAGAAATAAACTTAAGAGTCACCGACATCGAAACACTACTCATTTAAAGCCAAGACCCTAGGGCATGAGTGTAGTGGATAAAAGAAGAAACCCTAGGCCTGAGCCCTAAGGCATTCTCCCGTTAGACAGTGAAAAGACGAAGAAGGACTGGCAAAGGAAAACAAGAAACCACAAATCGGCTGGGAACAGCAGGATTTTGAAGAAACCGCAGCTACAGTACTTCAGAGTGAAGAAGGAACGCGAGTCACGAAAACAGCTACCATAGGCAGATGGAAAGGTGTGAGCTCCAAGACACATCACTCAGATTAGTAATAAAGCAAGATTAGATCTTTTTAAATAAGCACTTAATGTATTAAATATTAAAATAAGGATAGTATCCCAATAATACGACACAGTTCAAATGAGGAAAGGAGGAAAAGGAAGCTCAATAATTCAAACTTTATGTGCTACAAAATATGCCAGGTACTAGGAACACAGCAAGAAGAGATGCCCTGTTGCCGAGAAAGAAAAGTAATTTCAATACAGCATGGAAAGAACTGTGAAAGGGTTAACACAAAGGTTCTATAAACAGAGAGTACCTGCCCTAACCTCAGCTTGGGAAAAATGAAACAAGAAAAGCATTACATATGGAGATCAAGCGGCAAAGGGCAGCAGGATGGCTGAAGCACAGATCCTGAGGAAATAAGACTGATGAAGATTAAAGCTACATAGGGACCAGACCAGAGGGAGGGTCTCGTATGCCATTCTCCTATGTCTGGCACTTTATCCCCAGCCCAGGGCGAGCCATTCTGGAAATTTAACTAGGCTAGATCACTCAAGCCACAGCGTGAACAGTGGGATACAAGGGGGAAAGACGGAGCAGAGAAGAGTCACTGCCGCAGTGAGGATCCCAACAAGACCTGAAAATGACAGGCACCAAGACAGGGTCAGCAAAGACGAAGAGAAAGCACAGAGTTAAAGCTGCAGGACTAGATGAAGAAGTACTAGGGTCGCTGGTGAAGGAAGACTTGACAATGCCTTCCAGTGTCTGGCTTGATATACACCTCTCCTGGTCACAAGAGAGCTGGCGGGCATCCACAGAGAGCGCCCTATAGGCCCCTGGCCGTGGATCTGCACTCAGGAAATCAAGTCCCAGGCTACAGATAAGAGATGGGGAAGTGGACAGTAAAAAGACATCAAGAGCAGCCATGAAATCGATGAGAGAACTCAGAGAGAACACATGGAAGGAAAAGTGAGCCAAGGAAGGAAAGCTGGAGAACACAGAGGTTGCTCTGAAAATGACCATGGACCTCCAGAAGCAGCAGGAAAGCAAGAGGGGACATGTTCCCGTGAAAGACACCGGAGCAATCTTTCCGAGAAGGAAACATAAACAGTAGCAAATGCTGCAGAAAATATCCGAAGAAAATTCAAAAGCTCTCTTTTTAATTCATCAGTAAAAACTGTTGATGATCTTGAATATGGCTGCTTTTGAGTATCAGTGGGCACAGAGAGACAAACTGGAGGCAGCAATACTACAGCAAATCCAGATTGATCAATCCAGCTTTACAAAAGCCAAGCTTTATTACAGAAATCTGTCAAATCATTGAATATTAAAAAATAGTACTCAGGGGGCAGAGCAAGATGGCGGAGGAGTAGGAGACCTGGATTTTGTCTGGTCTCAGGAATTCAGCTGGATAGGGATCAAACCATTCTGAACACCTACAAACTCAACAGGAGATCGAAGAAAAGAATAGCAACAACTCTCTGAACAGAAAAGCGACCACTTTCTGGAAGGTAGGACGTGCGGAAAAGTGAATTCGAGGCGATATTTGGGAGGATAGACGGTGGGGGAGGGGGCCTCTGTCAGCCGCTTCTGGCAAGTGATAGAGCCGGGAAGCACAAAATCGGAACTTTTAGAAGTCTGCTCCGCTGAGGGACGTCACTCTGGTGGCTAAGCAGGGGGTGGAACCCTCGTGGGACAGTGTGGTCTCAGGACCCTCAGGGTCACAGAAAGACCGGGGCTGCCTGAGTGCGGCAGAGCTCCCAGGTATCGGAGCGGGGAAGCTGGCTGCAGAGACAGAGCCAAGGTGCGAGCTCTCAGCTCGGGGTAGTCATAAACCGTGATCCGCGGCACAGTCGGGCCACTGCTCCTCCAGCAGGGACCCAACAAGCGGCAGATCCGGGGAGACTCACCTTCCTCCCCGGGGAGGAGCCACGCGGGAGGGCACCGCAGGGGTCTGCTGGGTTTGGAGACTCCACCCGGGGTCGGGTGCCGGAGATGGAAATGCGCGGTCACAGGCCGGGTGAGCATGGAGTGCGGCCAGAGACTGGGGAGACAGGAGTGACTGACTGCTTTTCTCTGGGGGGGCGAACTGAGGAGTGGGGCCCCGAGTTCTCGGGTCCTCCAGGGCGGAGATTGGGAGGCCGCCATTTTCACTCTCAGCCTCCAAAGCTGTACGGAAAGCTTGCAGGGAACAAAAGCTCCCGAGAGCAAACCCGAGCAGGTTACTTAGCCCGGACCGGCAAGGGCGGGGGCAATTCCGCCTCCAGCAAAGACATTTGGGAACCACAGCAACAGGCCCCTCCCCCAGAAGATCAGCAAGAACAGCCAGCCAAGACCAAGTTTACCGATCAATGAGAACGGCAGAACTCCGAACAATGCACATAGAATCCATGGCTTTTTTACCATGATTCTCTAGTCTTTCAAAGCTAATTATTTTATTAACTGTCTTTTTTTTTTTTGAATTTTTCTTTTTCCCTTTTTCAACCAACATCTTATCAATCCCTTTTTTAAAAAACATTTTCATTTTTCATTTTTAGAGTCATATTCTATCCCTTCATAGTAGTTACCCTTATTTTTGGCATATATATATAAGTTGTTCTCTCTTTAAAATTTTGAGATACAGTTTCTTCTAACAGATCAAAATATACCCTAAATCTCTAGTGTATGGTTTTATTCTACTCTCCTGCCTGATCACATTCTCTCCTTTTTTTAAATCCTCTTCTTTCTTTTTTCAAACAACTTCTTATCAATTCCTTTTATAAAATTTTTTAT